GCGAGCCAAAAATCGTCTTGAGATGTTTGGTGGTAGGGTAAGAGGGGTGGCAGATCCTCGGATCAGCCGCCCCGATGTGCTCTCCTTCAAAACTCGGGCGGAACTAGACAGAATCGTACTGTCTCCTATATGGTGCTTAAAGCTCATGCCAATAACAGACGCAGTCTTGTAGTCTTTGCCACGATAAAATTCGTGCGCTTGTTCTGCTAAGTAAGACAAGTGACATTAGAAACAACATAGTCGAGCGGACGAACGCGGTGAGTATTAATAACTTGAACTCGTAACTAATAGCTCATGATTTTCCTCATATCTTGGTGAATGGGTTAGCTACATAGCAGCAGTCTTCAGGATTTTCTCCATGCATAACCGCAGGGTATCACAACCGTCGGAGGTTTCAAGTAAATAGCTTTCTGCTGCACTTGTGACATTGGGTATTTGGAAGCTATTGTTTACATTATATTTCGCATTTGTTTTGCAGGCATGTATTTATATTCCTTTCAGATTCTTTCTACCTGATAATAAAATTATCATATCATAATTACATGTATTTGACATTGGAAATCTTCACAAGAAATCCATGATGTGTAACTATTAATTAATTATTTTATAGAGGAAACTGGACTACAAAAAAATTCAACCTTCTTGCCCTAACTGCGGCAAAGTCAGTGATACAACAGAAAGTGCTCCTGTAAGCCCACTGGTCCATACTAGATCCCCTTTTTCAAATGCGATACCAATGTGCACTAATGAATTCTGCTACCGGGGCCTTCAAACAGCGAAACAGTAAAATTGCAAAGCACTGGTAGTTCGACCGAGGTTTAAATCCTGTCGAATGAGCTAGAGGTATAGGAGTGTCTTGATTTTCCTCATGTGCGAGTCGGTTTCCCCTAAAACGTTCTTCACTGAGGCATCTATTAACACTTTGCGGCACAGTGTGTCCGGTCTGGACACACCTAAAAATTTCTTTCTGTACGCACAGAAAAATTGAATGAGAAAGGATTTATAGGTTACTCTGAACCTTCTTTATTTATAGTAGATGGCAGCTCAACACAAACCAGTCCATATATTTTAGCCATTTTTAGTTTTTTAAGACCCTCATTTTTCAAAGTTTTAGTTTGTAAAGTGGTTTCATATTGATTACATTCAAAAAATAAAATTAAAAATTTTACGTTTTATGGAACTGCAAAACTCTGAGAAGTGTTTTTGCACAATTCGCCTGAAAAATGAATTTAACGCTGTATGTTAAGCGCAGTAGTAACACTTGCCAATGTGAGCGGAGGCTAAATCCATTGTATCATAGCGTAACGTAACCTTACGGTCCAAAACGCGTAGAAAGACTTTGCTAGGGACGTTTCTATCAGTGTTCTGCCGTCAGTGGACTAGAGGGACTAGGCTAATTCCGTAAGATTTTAGGCAATAACACTTTCGAGTAATACTTATTTAACATTCGAAAACGTTAAAAGGAACATTACGAAGGACTAGCTAGCTTTCACACCTGTTCACATAGCCCCTTTAAACATCCTCTTAAGTATTAGCGGTAGGTCTTAAGAAATTTTTAACCTTTTATGACTCTTATAAGCGAAATTTATTATAACTTTTAGTCGCGATATTTTAATTAGTGTTCATGAAAGTGTTCCTGTGATATGTGAAATAATTCGAAATAAAATATATCGACGTAGTAATTCTGAGCTGAAATTTTGAGAGGGAAGCGGAATAAGGATCGAACCCACACAAGTGATCGCCAAACCAGCGGTCGAGTGGTAAAGTCGCTGAACTCTGGTAGTTCGATCCGAGGTTCGAATCCCGGCGAACGGGATGGCTGCATGGGCATTTTCGTGGTTTTCGTTAAAGTCCTTCAAGAATGCATCCCTTCCCTTAGGCAGATAGCTCTCGAGTGCGTTACCACAATCAAATAAACCAACCAACCCAAACAAGAGATCATTACATCAGTTAAATCGTTTTATGATAACTCGCTGATCCGTTATCAGCATCACAGTCCTGTGGTCTGGGTGACCTGTCCATTATATGCTTTGAGATATTATATTTTGAAAGAAATAGGAAATAATCGCGAAAGATAGGCGATAACGATAGATAACGATCCCCCTTGTATGTTTTCATTTGTACAAACTTGAAACATTATTAAATACAGTTGCGAAATGATTAACGATGCGTAAATTGAGAAGAGTCTGTTTACTGGTCTTGTGTTCTTTTTCCAATAAACTTTTCTTTAATTAATTATGTATTTTTATGACATCCATCAAGTTACAAATTATTTATTTATTACAGCATGATGGCATTGCTTTCTCTACCTCATATGAGCTTAGAAAATTTACTGGAACATATATGCATTATTGTACTCATTAGTCATTGCATTCAAAATACTGTAAACCCTATAGTGGCGACCACGTCTGTAAGGTGATCACCTCTGAAAGAGACCAATATTTCTGGGAACATAAATATAGGTACTATTTCACCTCTTCAAGATGATCACCTTCACTTAAAACCGTAGTCTTCGGAATCGTAGTTGGGAAAGAGAATGAAACTTTTCTTCTTACCTACTCTCCTTTGATACATTTTGTTCACATTACGAAATTTCGCTGTCTGTAGCACTTTGTTATTGAACGCCATTAATAATAAGCATTGTACCATTAATAATAAGCATATCATAATGCTTATTATTAAGTTGTACCATTAATAATAAGCATTATGATTTCTGTTTGTTGTGGATTAGCATGAAATAGAAGTATGCGTAGTAAAGAGTGAAGCACAAAAGTGTCTCTTGCTAGCATTTTTTCCCCCGTGGAGAACAAAAGGAGTTGCGCGAATGTCACTTTTCAGCAACAGGTTATAACAATAATAGGTTTGCTACGCAAAAAGGGCATTCATCTTCATCTTTCCTGCTTAGCGTTCCATTTTCGTTGATTATCTGCAATCGCAAAAAAGACTTTCAATGCCGCGAACTTCAGGTGCTCGATCTGGAATAACCGGTAAATGTTGTGGAATTCGGTCGCAACCCTATAAGAGTAGAAGACTAAGAGAAATGTTTAGAACAATATTAATTTTACTAAGAACCAAGTTAGCTGATTCATAATCAACCCTTTCAGCAAGATGTTCGAACCTCATAGTAGAGGGTCGAGAGTAATTCAGCTAAAAATTTTTTTTATCTAGAGCAATGTTTCTTCAATTTCTTTGGGTCATAGTTCTCTTATTTGAACTTTCCTTTTGGAAATGTTCTTACCCATTCTGCATGTGCGCATATGTGTTATATATATATATATATATATATATATATATATATATATATATATATATATGTATATGTAATATATTCAAACTCAGGAGCAGAAACAAACTTAGAAGTAATGACGAGCAGGAATTTGGATTGCGTAGAAGTGTTGATCCATTATAATGACTATTAAATCGGAGGGGAATGCATATTAAATCTTCAGTGTTATTTTCGGCACATGTTGCGGCTACACACAAGTCGGCACAATAAATGTGCCTGTTCCAAAAGGCTTACATTTTTGATAATTTTGTAGCAAGAAAGCAGATCAGACAGACAGCAGTGTAGCTAGGGCAAAGCGTGGAAAGCAAGTGTGTAATGTTCACAATGAAATCTCAAGTCAGACTGAGTTAGTTTTGGTTTTCAAAGCATTCTGATTGGATGGTTAATATTGCTGTAAAATTATTATTGGCTGTTAAGAGTGTTAGTTGCGTTTACGTCATCAGAATTATGTAAGACTCATATGACATAGAATAGTCCCGAAATGACGTAGTGCAGAAAGAGGTTACTATTTTTAGAAAGAGGAGGGAAATTTACATTGTTAATTTAATAAGATTCTTTATTTTTCTTACACACACACACACACACACACACACACATATATATATATATAATAATAAAATATAATACGATGTAATTAAATTTATTAATGCAATTACACTAAAATTATCATCTCATATAACTTTTATTATTCTTGTGTAAAGCGGTACCAGTACAAATAATTTGTAACATTACTTTATTTTTAATAATAATTACATTTAAATTCAGTCATACAAAAATGATAATAATGCAGTGTAATATAATAAGTACTATTAGTTTTAGGATAGGAACCGTAAAATTCAAATACATGGTGAATTTGATGGACAATCAATAGCTTTACAATATAACAATTAAGATTTGTTAGTTAGGAGTCTTAAATCGCCATTTTAAGCAGTTTGGAGTTAAGTTCATGTATTTAGTAAGAAACTAATATATAGAATTTAAAACTTTTTTCTGCTAATATGGCGCTACGAATGAAACTTTTATTAGGGACATGTCTAAAGCGTAATGTTATTTTGTATAAAATATGTTCAAGCTGCTGCATTAATCATGTTTAATCATATGATTAATGTTTATAAAATTAGTGCCATTACTACTTTCTTCTTGAAAACTTAAATCCTTCTGAGTTCCTCCTTATTTTTAACGTTCCTTTGGGTAACAGAAACGCCTTCAAGAGGGTTGTATGTCCTTCTTTAAGAAATATTATTTTAAGGATATGCTATAGACTACTTATTTATTTCTTAGAAATGAAATCGTTTATTTCATAAGATTTAAATCTTTCATTTTTTGTCTACTTATTGATATCGCGCATATCAAAGGAAGTTTCGGTAAATGATAATGTATGGCGCAATTTTCATCACTGATTAGACATATACACTTAACAGTTTGATACAGAATTTATATTGCGTCACAGAATTGTTCCTTCGTTTAGCTAAAGTGTTTTTCCCTTATGTTTTCGTACTGAATAATCATATAACTTTAATATGTTTTCTCGCATTTTAAATATATATGAAGTGTGTTTATTATAACTGTGTTAATTATTTCTGTTTTGTCTTCTTAAATATGATCATTATCACTTTAAACGATCAAGAAAATAAGTCCTTGTTTCGTAATTTTTGTATTTAAAGCAGGATGGATGTGTGCTTTGTTATAAGTGATTACTTATTCCTTTTTACAGGATTTGATTCCTATTCTGACAAATGGAAAAGATGCGAAGGTTCTCTCTACTGCAACCAGGTTAGTTTTATGGAGTTTCTTAAAAGTAATTTTAGATTGATAAAGCTATTATGTATGTCCAGGAGGCTGCGTAGCTTATGTCTGTTATAAAGTTGCTTTTGATAAACTTGCATGCATTTATCATGAGCAGTACTCTAAATCTGTATTTAGTTATTTAGTTTTCGTATGTTTTTTCCATGTGTAAAACTTAAACTACAAGCTGTACGAAATGATATTTAGTTTCGAGGAACGACTTAAAAATTTTACTTAAATATTGCAACCAAATTTATTTATATTGTTAACCGTTGTGATAATTTTCTTATCATCGTAGAACTTATTCAGCTTCATTTGCATAAATAAGGACATACTGAATAATTTTAATACAAAGGGGGGATTTATATTTTTTTCGGAACAGCTGTAATTCAGTAAATTTTAAAAAAATCACAAAAACAAACAAAAAGTAAAAAGAAGGAAAGTAGTTTTTCTTATATTTGTATTTTATATATTCTTTTTTGTATATTCCTACTGCTTCTTTAGTGCTTCTTTCAGCTCTTTCTTTAGTTGGTGGATTGTGTTGAGCTTATTTTATTCATTAGTTTTTTAGCGTTGTATAATTTTGAGGTATAGAGTTGGTAACATTTTCCCTGTTAGATATTTTTTTAATTTTAACATAAAGAATGCACTTCTAGCTTGGTTATAGTACGAAATCAAAATTATTAGTCATTGTTTATTTCATATCATTACCATTTTTAGGAATATTCACTCGTGTATTTTTTTAAGCTTTTAAATTGTCATTTAATTCTGTGATAAAGTTTAAAATTGCGAAGTATGGAAAGAGTCTGCATTTTATTAATGATTTGGTATGGTTTATTTGATTATGGCAAAACACTAGAGGGCTATCTGCCTAAGGGAAGGGACGCCTTTGTGAGGGACTTTCGAAGGGAAACTAGCTCGTATACACGTTACACACGAGAAAAACTACGAAAACGTGCATACAGCAAATCCGTTCGCCGGGATTTCGAACCCCGGTAAAGTGTTCAGCGACTTTACCGCTTGGACGCTAATGGGACATTTTATTAATGATGAGGTAATTGCTGTTTACAACAATATCTTCAGTACACCATTTCTGAAGTTTTCAGTAATTTTTGGTCGGCTTTGAATTTTATATTATGAGTTTTACAGCTAAAACAGTTTCATTCTTTTCTTTGAAAAAGGAATGATAGTCTCTCAAGTTACAATTCTGATATGATTATCATTTCAATGAGTATCTTATTTTTTATTCATGATGATGTTTCGTGCACGATAAAAAATGTAGTTGAGCAATTTCCATCTCTTATGTAGTTGGTGTTTAAATAAATGAAAATATAAATATTTTTGGAAGATCATTATCTTTTAACTTTTGGACTGTGATAACAAAATGCAAAATGATGCTTTGACTCATATTCATTGTATAACTCAGTTAGCATATAAATTATGTTAAAATTGTAGAATATCTAGCTGCATTCTGTCTGCAGTACTTTTCTCTCTCTCTTTTTTTTAAGGGATCTTTGGAACATATTAATGCATTAAGCTTTAAACATGAAATCGTCCAGGAAATGATTGTCATGAAACATCCTGTTTCGTAGTTTTTGCTCAATAATTTGAGATCGTTTTTATTGTTTCTTCCTGCTATGTGATTTCAAGATCATGTGGCTTCTAAGCTACGAAAACATCTACAAAATCAAAGTAACCAAACCGTTTAAAATCGCTCTTTACGCATTTTTTTTTTGTCATTTACAATACTATGTAATTAAAAGTACCTTGTTTTGTGCCACGTTGGTTTATTGATCATAACACACATTCTATTTATTTAGTTGACAATTATGTACGATGAGCATCGTAAGTATCACAGTTTCGGTAGAGAATTTAAAAATATAAAACTTTTCCTAACAAATTACACACGGCATTTCAGCTCTTACATTAAAACGATAGCTTACAGTGTTTTGTTTCTTGATAGATATCTTGCTTTTTTTAAAATAAAACTTATAAACGTGTAATTAAGATTCTTTTGCGAAAATGAATTGCTGCTTTTAAACAGCTGCATCAGCAAATAGTTTAAGGTTAAGTAAGGTTAAAGTGTTGGAGCTATTGTTAGACCTAGAAGATGTCCAAAAATTAGTCAGTATTGTACATATCAAGTAATAGGGTGTGCCCTAGATATGTGTGTAGAATGCCTCAGCATAATTTGCTAATATTATAAGATAAATAAATTATGTTTGTAAGTAGAAAATACTAAAAGTTGTGCATGAAAAGTTTGTAATGAAATAAATACTTTCAAAAGAGACAATATTAAAATGCATAGATATTGATAAATTATGCTTTTATAAATGCAAGTTATAGAAGTGATTATGTTGGCAAATAAGCATAAGGAAAAAGAAAGCAGTTAATCGGACAAACTAAGGCATTGGCCAATAAATGTAGACAGAAGTCATTCACTGTCATGGACACGTTAATCATTACTCATGGGTTATGATGCAAAAATATTGTAGACTACAAGAGACTCTGCAGCTTAATATTTAACTATTATTTGCAGTTTAATGTATAAAATGCCAATTAGGGAACGAAAACAAAATTAGCAAAGAAAAAGGCTAATTTTATTTACATTACAAAATTGTTAAAGGCCTCGTCCCAGAGTTTATCATTAATACAGAATAATGTATAGTACTGTTATCCGATCAAAGTGCGTTTACTTTTTAATCTCCATAGTATGTGGATAGTATGTGAGGTAAATTAAATCAGTCAGTCCGAAAAGCAGTCAACTCTAGCCTCTTTCTCTCCCCCCCATTATTTAGATGTAACTGCGATGGAAAAATGTTTTCTTTTAAAAATTATAATTTTTTTTTTGTCTGGTTATTCATTTTTTGATGTATTGCTCTCTTATTCTCTTCCTCCTTTTTTTTTGAGGTGCTTATCTATTTTAAGTACAGAATTATTAATTTTTCACATGCTTTATTTCCCATCATTATCATTATGACCAAAGGATCAGTAGTTTTAATACTCAGCATAAAGTTTAACAGGCGGCATTTTGAAAGTATATTAAAAATTGATTTATATATTATTTCCATTTTAAAAGTAAACGAATGTCTTTAAATTTGGGGAAAAAAATTAGTATTTTATGAAGAAATTTGTTTTCGGATAAACGAAAATGTTATCTGAATCGCAAAACTCAGAAAGAAATAACTGTGCATGTTAATTTAGAAATCAAACAACTGTTCATGTGTTATTCAATATTAAAAAAATTCAGCCTTGTCTCTTCCCCCCTCCAAAAGCCCATCAATCTAAATAAGTCCCAATGGATGAACATGCTGCAAATTGTTTTCGTAGTTTTCCTTACGTGTAACATAATGAGCTGTTTTCCTTAGCAAGTTGAACTTTTTCGACCTAAAGAGACAATTTCTGCCTTTCCGATTTTCATTCTCAAATTACATTATTGAGTTCTTTTTATTTTAATGCTTTTATTTTATTTTTTTCAGATTAGTATTTTATAATTTTTTCCCCATTTGTAGTACTATTGTAGGTTTGTTTATTTAATTTGTTATTACAATAACATACTTGTATAAACCTTGTGGATCACGAGGAGTTAAAATGAAGTTAACAAAAAAAAAAAAAAAAAAAAAAAAAAAAAAAAAAAAAAAAAAAAAAAAAAAAAAAAAAAAAAAAAAAAAGTCCTTTCCTTTAACCAGGTAATTCTTGTGTTATTTGCCTTAATCAATTTAGAAACCAGCCATCTCTTGTAAAGTTAATTTTTATAAAGGTGTCTAGCTTTTAGACTAATTAACTCGTCTGAAGTGAAACGGACAATAAAATTTAAAAAAATGTATTTCTGTTACGACAAGAGCAATTAAAAAAAATCTGATGTGTAAACCACATGACTTCCTTGTACGGAAAATTAAATTATACGCATTTTTTCTTGCATTTTATTTAAACTTATTAGATTGAATTAAACCTACTTCGCCGGCAGCGCATAAACCACAATAGAATAAATGCATTCTTTGAAATTCACTTTGTTTACCATAGCGACACTCTGGCGCTAGGTTTACTTAACAGTATTACATTTTATTTCATATTATAACTCAGAATGCACAAAATTTATAATTTTAAAGAATAGAATATCTAATCGTTGCCACATGTTCTATTCAAATACTATAATAAAGCTAGAACTATGTATAAAAGAAATTAAGCAAACAAAACAAAAAAGAAACAGTTTTTCACAGACGATTGAGTATTTCTCATTTAATTAATTCAGTTCATCACTTCGCGAGAAGGCAAAAATACATAAAAACTCAAAATATTCTATTAAAAATTACGAAGTAAATCTTAAACGCTTATTTCCTCGAAAAAAAATTCCAGAAAAAGATTAAGCATGATTTAATTGGCAATAATAAATGAATGCGTTATCTTTGTTGTTGCGAAGCTAAGTTTCTCTAGATTGGCAACAAATCCACTAGTCTCCTGTTTCAAATGTAAACATCAATGGCCGCCATTATAAACAGGCTTAGCGGCAATTAAACAACTTTAAAATTGCTGATAATTCTAAAAATATTGCACGCAGATTTACTAAAGGCATAAAATCCTTAACCGGAAGATAAAAACAACATAATTCAATCATTTTTAAAGCAAAAAAATGTACAATTTACAAACATATAAGAGTAAAAGAAACTGAGATTACTGAGGCCGGGTAATAGAGTGGATATATATATAAATATATTATATACGTTTGGTGCGGCCGATTGCAACCAAAATACGAGGTGCACATCTACACGTTTTATAGCAGTCCTATATGCAAAATTTCAACGTTCTGAGGCTACTCTGTTTTGAGTTATGCGAGATACGTACGTACGCACGTAACGTACGTTCGTAGAGACGCCACGAAAAATTCTCTTCAGAATTAATTTTAAAGCAGTTTTATAATTTTTTTGGAAGGAAAAGAGTATGTCCTTCGTTACACACAAAAACATCGTTAAATTGCATTCGATAGCGGT